TATTTTATTTGATATTTTAATATACGTGAAGGTGTTTAAAAAAAATAACTCACCTTCAGTCCAGTTATTCCGTTGAATCCATTCCACCCCGGCTCTCCCTTCTGTCCACGTGGCCCATCATACCCCACTGAATCCACTCCATTATCTCCAGGCAAACCAGGACGTCCATCAACACCTGGAGCTCCAGGTGCCCCAATTGCTCCCATGAATCCAGGCTGACCCATGTCGCCCTGAGGCCCGCTAAATGCGTCCTGTCCACGTTCACCAGGAGGACCATCGTACCCAATATCTCCAGTTATTCCAGGCAAGCCCACAGGTCCTTGAATACCTGGGAATCCAGGGTTTCCAGATTCTCCGATCGGTCCCTTCAACCCCATAGCCCCGGGAGATCCCTCCTCGCCAATCCACCCTGGCTGTCCAGAATCTCCGATCTCTCCTATATCTCCATCCTCGCCTTGTTTTCCCGGCACTCCAGGAATCCCTTCCATACCCGGGTACCCTTGAATTCCAATATCTCCATCCTCTCCTCGACGCCCGTGAAAACCAATCTCTCCCTTCAGACCTTTCATTCCATCGAAACCTGATACACCATCTGGACCGGTCATACCTACGTTTCCTAGCATTCCAGGGGCCCCCGATAATCCTGGAGGACCTGGGAAACCTCGGGGACCTTGGATGCTATCACCTCGAACACCTTTCGCTCCCTATTAACACCATTAAATTATCGTTCACTACCTGACATATTCCAGGTGAGTTTTTGGAAAATATCAGTTCTACAGAAAAGTTTCAATCGAATTTCCATTATCTCCCTTAGGTCCCAATATATTTTCAAATATTCATTGAAGAGTGATCCGTTAACTCGTTTACTTTTACTACTTGGCTGATTTCTCTTTTGGCGTTTTCTCACTTACCTGGAGACCTGGTAGTCCTTCGAATCCAGGCGCTCCTTTGGCGCCTCTGAGACCCTTTGGTCCGTCAACACCGGTCCTTCCGCGAGGGCCGGCTGGTCCCTCGAAACCGAACTCTCCTTTTTGGCCGTAAAATCCACGTACGCCGATCTCACCGTAGATAAGATTCGTTCCGATATCTCCTCGATCTCCCTTCATTCCTGGCGGTCCCTATTCAGAATCATTAAAAAATATGTACTACATGCAGTAATATTTAATAATAAAATTCAATTTTTTAAATAGAATAGTTCGACAAAAATCTCTCAATAAAGTTCTACATATTTCTATAGAATTCTTGCAGCTCCTATGAAATCGAATCTGACATTCCGAAGAAACTGTTACGTAATGGGTTGATTATTGATTTATGAAAAAAAATTATAGCTTTTGACAGATAACGTACCAGAAGCCCAACTGGTCCTTGCTGACCGGGTTGTCCAGCAGTACCACGAGGACCTTCGTCACCGGGCATTCCTGCGTATCCCTTCAGACCAACAGGACCTGGAATAGAAATACCTGGGGATCCTTGAGGTCCAGGGAGTCCGGGCCATCCCTCGTCTCCGTCGTGCCCTTGAAAACCCTTCAATCCATCGAATCCTGGAATATTGATTGACTTCTCAATTATTCAACGCCCACCAAATCATTTTGTCGGCTCTCAGGAGTTTTCCGCATAATTAAAAAATTCTTCTATATGAATTTTACATTCAACTCACCAGGCTCTCCTGACTGTCCTTTGATTCCCTTGACTCCTTTCACATCTCTTGCAGTATGAGATGCAGCTTCTCCCTGTTCTCCAGGCCATCCCTTGTCTCCTCGAGGTCCCCGCACTCCAGGTACTCCATCGACTCCGGGATCTCCTCGAAGGAACTCTATCGGGACATCGGCGTCATCCCCTTTCTCACCAGGTACTCCATTCCATCCAGGTTTGCCGTCGACTCCTGTGACACCAGGGGCGCCGAAATCTCCCTTTAAAATGGGACCAGAGTGTCATGATCAATTTCTCCAGAGAAATTCAAAAGATTCGATTGATCAAAGCACTTCAAAAGAAGTTCATCTATTAAATTTTTGAATAAACGAAGCCGAAAGATTGGGATGAAAATTACTTTTTCCCCCTTCGGTCCTTCAGGTCCTGTGTCACCGAGTTCTCCGGGTGGACCACGTCCTCCACGGAGGCCTTCGAATCCGGGAAAACCTTTGTCACCGACTTCACCGGATGGAGAGTCTTTTTTCGAACC